ACGTTAATTTAACTAAATCAATGTAGTTAAAATTTAAATTTTTGCCTACAATACGAGTATATATAAGATTTGATTTGACGCTTTTTTTTGGTACATGTATATCGCGCGTCCATGCGCGAAGTTTACGCAAACGTGCTGCACATGCACACAGGCGAGAGATCGCGTACATGCCCCGGGAAATATCCATTTCTATATCCAATGTAGATTAATTTTAAACTTGCTTTAATTTACATTTTATTTTTTCCTAGTTCCAAGAATTAGAAAAAGATAAAACGTAAGCTAAAGCGAGGTTAAAGTTAATCAGCATTGACAGAAATAGACATAAGCAGGATAAATCTGCATTGGTCGATCTGAACGATCGATCTTGAGAGTAGTTAAATTCATTCGTAAAAAAAGATCGCGCGTCAACGGTTATCTACCGAAAATTTTCCGGAGATATTGCATGAAGGTAATACAAGCCCGCAATATATCATTGTCAACGGCAGGCTTCGACGCAAAATAATTACGTCCATCGGTTATCTTCCCCGAAAGATACGTCGCATGAAAATAATACTAGTAACAAAAATGAATAATACTTAGTCGCTATCGTGTGATATCGTCGACTACCAACACTTCGGGACGTCGAACTGAGCCTCCCTTACCTCTCAAAAACACTTGTAACTTCAGACACTAAAAGTCGTGGCTCGATAAGGGTCTTCGAAGAGAAATCGGTGATCAATCGAGTGCGATGAGCGAGAAGTTTATCAATCAGATTACTCTTTACGGTTGTTATTGATTAACAAGTGCCGATTATGAATTGGACTGTGCGCAAAAATTTCCTTGTCAAACCGTTTGGAATCGTGGCAGGTACCTAACGACTAATCACGCGACACGATAAAACGCAATAAAATGTAATAAGCCGCGAATCTCTCTCCACCTCTTTTTCCGCCGGGTAAATCGTTTTTCCGAGCGAAACCTTCGATTTGAAGGCGTGAATGGCGGTCGTCACAATAGGCAAGGAGCTCAACATCGACGGCCTTGTTGCCGTTAACTAATAAGCTGGAATTACGGCGACGTGTGCAATGTAGCGTGGAAAAAGTGGCTTGTCACTTCATCGCGATCAACAATGCCGGACAACGCCGTATGACAATTAGAGATGTGCGATTTTGCAATATATAGCACCGCGATTTTTTTTCTTGAATTGCAATGCGATATATATATATATATATATAT